ACTCATAAGGACCCTACAGGACAGTGTAGAACTCCCCCATAGGGTTCCCAAGGCTTTATGGAAGCAGACTGCCACATCTTTCTCCTGTGGGGTGGCTGGTGGGTTCGAACCACCAACCTTTTGGTTAGCAGCCTAGCGCTTAACCACTGCACCACCAGGGCTCCTGATCTCAGAGTACAGACCCTTAAATCTGAGCGGAGGCTGCTCCTTCCTACACACACCCAAAGACACATTTCCTTGACAACAAAAGAGTGGAAATATCTTCTGTCTACATCTCCCCAACATCACCAATACCACTTAATCCAAGCAACCAACATCTTGCCTCTCAAACTATTATAACAGCTTTTTTAAAACTCTCTCTACATCCTTTCTTAACCTCTCCCCCAACTCCAACCATTTCTCCACAAGGAAGCAAACTGGATCACATCCCCATTCTTTCATTCATCCATGTTATCAAATAATATTATGTGCTAGGCACTGTCCTAGGTGCTGGGGATATGAGTGAACAAAATATACAAAAAACCCTGTGGTGTGGGTTTTATTTCCGGTTGGGGTGTGGGGAAGAAGAACAAACAATAAACAAAATAAAAATGTAAACTATAAGTATGATGGGTGGTGGGAAGTACTGAGGAAAAAAAGTAGAGGAAGGAGGTGGGGAAAGAGTGGTCTCGTAAACAATGTGGCCAGGAAGGTCCTCTCTGGGAAGGCAGAAATTACCTTTAGAGAGGTGAGACTGAGTAAGCTGTATGCAGGTATCTGCAGAAAGAGTTTTCCAGGGCAAGGAACAGCAAGTGCAAAGCCCGAGTCAGGTGCCCATCACATAGCAAGGAGTTCATCTGACAGAGCCTTGTGAGCCAGGGGAGAAAGCACCAGAAAATGAGATCAGGGTGGTAACAGATCACTAGGGGTCACACGTCAATGGGTCTTCAAAGTCTAAAAAACTCTACAAGACCTGAAGTGTTCTGTCCCATCTATCTCTCTGGCCTCCCTTCCTGGCTAGCTCTTCATCTGTGCTCAGCCATCCTGGCACATGCTCTCCCCTCCACCTAGAATACCCTTGGCCCCTCCAAAGATCTGGGTACCCCTGCTCATCCTTTGTCCAGCACAATCACTTCTTCATGGAAACCTTCCCTAAGCAAGCATGGTTGTTGTTATACCTCTCAGTACACCACATACCTCTTCTTCATAACACTTCATCAGGTAATAATTTTACCTTATGGACTTGATTATTTGATTAATATCTCTAGCCTCCTAGGCAGTAAACTCTGTGAATCTGGTTTT